CTATGCTCTTCACTCAATTTTTACAATTTAATTCATCAGGTTGTGGCTCATTCATAATTTCATATTCTAAATCAAGATAAATCGAATTTTGACAGTATCCGAAGCCCGTAGATTTAATTCCATGAACTTCCGTGGAAAAATAACCTTAACCCGCCACTGGGTATTATGGAAGGCGTTGGTAAAATGGAGCGGCGTTGGTGATTCTCCCTTTGAAGGAGTTGTGAATTTCCGCCTGTCGTGTGCAACTGTCCGTATAATGAGCCGATTGCATAACGAGTATGCGTTTCCGTTACACGCGAATTATGCTTTCGAAAAAGAATATCAATGTGCAGCATGATGCCTCCGACGCGAATTTAATTCTCAATGTTGTTCGAACGCGTTACGTAAACAATAACTGTACATTCGCAGGCGAAGAACGAGCGACTCGTAATCAAATAGACGTAACCGATAACCTTGTTTCGTTTCGACGCTTAACCTGCCAACCGGTAGACTTTTCGATCGTGATCGCTAGATCGTGGATCGTTTGCTCTTGTAAATTCCGCTAAACTCTACAAAGTACTACAGAGATTTACTATTTCAAATGATTCCGGTTAAAACCATTGAAACAATATAAACAGGAATTTAATTGAAATTTTATTTCTCATTCGCTGAAGACCATTAGCGAAGACAGTAAAGTTGTACAGTAATTTTTGTTTTCTTAACACTAGAATGAAAAACAATATTTTTGTGAGGAGAATTCATTGAACCGCTTATGTTACATACGAAATTAAATTTAAACATTCGAATCTCAGTAAGATCGAGACTAATCGATTCGACTGTTCGATGCTTCTAGTGTTAAGTTCGTCTGACGACCGACACTCAAGTTCACATGAAGATCCACGGTCTAATTATTCAACGAAGAAAATTGCTCTAAAGTTTCCTTTACAACGGACACAAATACTTTAATTAATTTATGCTAATACACAGTTGTCGAGTTACAGTTGAGTACAGGTACCATTGTTTAGATAAGAAAACAGAGGGCGACTGGATGACGAGTCAACTCGTCCCAGCCCGGTTAACAGGTTAAGAAATCCAGCTAAAAGTCCGAGTTTATCTTCGACTGGCTTCTTCTCGTTCGATTTCTGCTACGCAAATAGACTTCCAACGCCGGCGACGGTGTGTAGAAAGCATATGGCTTTTTCATTCTCGTTTAAATTGAATGGCAGTGATCAAAGATGTATCGGTCTTGAGTGATTAAGGGGCGTTCCTAACTTGGCCTCTAGATCGAATGGGATATCTTGAATGGACCCTTAACCTGTTAACTGGGACATACGAATTAACTTGTCGATTATGCTTCGTGTATCTCTAGCGATAGGGCTATTTATGCGGCTGAACAATCTAAGTTTATTAAAAGGTAATTTTCTTTATCTTTTCGTTACTATTTATCGTTAATTAGAACCGTACAGGTTTTCGTGGTAGAAAAATGACGCCCAGGTAACAGGTTAAGGACCTTGATGAAAAGCTTTCTTTGAACATTCTAATTCAGAATCATTCCTTAATTACTCAGACTGTTAATATGCACGTGTATATGTTTTGTGTGTCTCTTTTTCATGAATGTTCTTTTTGGATACGTGTATACAGCTAGGTTCATTCCGATGATAAAAGTGAGTACTGATACTTTGTTTGTCCAAATTAAATTTTTATTAAACACGGTTTTTTCTGTAACATCGAGGACGAATCATAACATAAATAATTATTGATCAGTATCACTTTTTTGCGCTCAACAATTGAGTCTATTTTTCATTTTTTTTTTTAGTAACACTGGAAGATAGTACGTGGGGGCGGCGGCGGCGTCGGTAACAGCGATCTCTACATTTGCCAGTGTTTCTTTATCTTTATGCCTTTCATTCGTTCGCTATCTGCATACAAATTCTCTATTTTTTTCGACACACACGTTCTACACACGCACACACACACACACAAATACACCTACTGCACATCGTGTGATTACACCTCTTTCTCTCAGCTACACAAGGTTTTGGTATACAATAACACCTAACCTAATCTAGCCTAACTCTTCTTTTTTCAGTTTTAGATCGTACAAGTGTGTAGGAAGCATGGCGGGTGATATATACATTACACGCGCTCAATTAATGATTACAAAGGCTGCGGTTGTGTATGCGATTCTGAAGAAGCATACAGGATAAAATGTTACGGTGAAACATACATGCAATTTTTACATATTACAGAGCATACGGAGAGAAACAAGTGTTTGCTCGATGTCGTCAAACGGAAAACACGATGTTCGAACGATTTGCATCAACATCCGCAGCCTAATGATTACACAGCAGATGTTTAATTATCTCCACTAAACATTGGTAAGGATTAAAGGGTGGGGATAGGGAAGATTGGTAAGTTGGCATATAGTATATTCGTGTGCTTGCATCTTGTCCAATATATGTAAACTTTTTTGTTCTTTTTTAAGTGATTCCTTTATATGAAGATCGATTACGCATTCTCTCTCTCTCTCTCTCTCTCTCTCGTTCATTGCAGAAAGCCACACCACCACCGCTCCCCCGGTTCGCTAGTTATGAGTTCTCCATCAAGAGGCTCTCGACATTTTCTTCCACTTCCATTACACGCCGTTTTGTGTGTTTCATTTCTTTCGTTTTAGTATCCTTTTTTTATTTAATGAAATTGTCGTTGTTAAGAATTCGAAAGGACAATTCGATCGAATTTAACTGTCGGCTACCTGTTCGATCTTTCACGATGACGACGATGATATATATACGTGTATATATATATATATTTATATGTATGTATGTATAGAATATATATATAGGTGCATTTTCAAGCGAGGTCTACCGGCGATCAACAAAAAAAGAACGGTACCAAGAAAGCTCGAAACGACTTCCGTCTTCTGATTTTCGTTCACGGACATGTTCGTTGTGAAACAGTGTAACTCACGCTACACGTTCGTTATCCGAACTAAAAGTTGTTCCATCACGTATCACTCGGTGGATTGTCCGTTCAGCGTAAGACAGAGCAGGACAAGCTAATTTCAACAATGATTTAATTGTTTAGCAAAAGGGGCAAACGTTTGTAATTCATTATGTTTCGGTAATTAATAAAATCAGATTGTTTTGTGTGTTTGGCTAGAATTAAAGAACGTAATCTTCACTTGTTGCTCTAGCCTTACGTTCAACAAACAGCACGCGGTTTCCTGGTGCTCCCCCGGAAATGCGCCTACACGTTGAGCTCGGTTGTTGTTTTTTTCTCGTTAGATAGAAAATACTGCGCAGTCAATAAAATTTTGGCAAGCGGACGCGACCCCCGGTTGTTCCTTCGCGTGATGTTCTGCATACGGGGAGAGGTGGTGGCCGATCGAACAATAGCCGTGCAAAGGGTTCACTGTCAGCTCCCATGACAATGAACCCCATTCGAGAACACCTTGCGTGCATGCACTTTCCATGTAGTTGTCCCCCCGTTCGACTACAGAACGCTAAACGCATCGAACGCACTTGAATTTTTCTCTTTTTTTCGATCGATATTCTCTCTTCAAAAATAATGAAAAAAAAAACAACGATTTATACTCCTCCTTCACGCGCCGTTACAAGCGCCCGCTCGCCTGCACTGAACGAACTTATTATGGAATGTACAAATTATTTTATTTTTCTTTTCTTTTACCATATCATCTCGTAACCCCTTCTCTTAGGTAGTCATTACACCGCTGGAACGTAAAATAAAATCGGTTTTCGTGTTTAAGCTTCTAACTCTCTCGCTTCATCAACGTGTATACATATATATATATGTATGTGTATATATATATATATATATATATATATTCCCGAATGAGACGCGAGATAAGTATGTTCAGCTCAGAGAAGGGAATCACCGCCGGCCTAAGCGGTCATCCGAACCAATTTGCCCATTAAACCGTACACTGTTGCTCTCTGTAAGATTTCTTGATACGTCCAGCAGCCACTGAATTGACTTAATACTATCATGTATCTGTCCATTTGTCTACTCACGTTTTCATCCTTATTTTTCTTCCTTTTCTAGAACTTCCATTTCACATACTATATTTTGTGTCTTGTTTGCTATGATTGTACAATGTCTGTGGTTTTTCTTTTTTTTCGCAGAAGGATACAGTTTTTGTACAATCCTTGCGTATATGCTGCATTCTATACGCAATTCGTATGTCCCTCGTTCATTTCTCTCATTCTGGATATCCTTAACTTCATTTCCTTAAGATTCTCTCTCTGTTTCTCTCTCGTAGAGACATATATCTGCAATATCTGTATGCTGTTGCTTCAATTGCATTTTAATACATAATTGTGCTAAATATTCTTTTATCAATAACATTTTTTTTCCTTTATACACTCAGTAGAGCCGATTATCTTACTTGATAATTCAATGTCAAACTACACTACAAATGATTACTATACAGTGAAAGAGAAATGTTCGGCATGGGGTAACGGGGTCTTTTTTTTCTTCTCTCAGTGTAAACTCCCTGTCGCCTGTCGTTTTTCTTCTCTATTTGTATCTTCTGTACACACGCATCCTCTTCTTGCAAGACTGAATCGATGTTTCCCTTGAAGGTTTGCTTGTTTTTCTTTTTCTTATCGACTGATGGTTTGTCAGCACTCTTGTTCTTGGTAATTCGCTTTCATACAGTTTTTGTGTAATGAATAATGTTGTTTTTTAAATGCTCAAACTCTAATACATCTCAACTTTTAATACAGAATTACAGAAGGATGCTTGGATGACTCGATGTGAGTATGTATGGAGAAATGTGTTTTTTAAGTAAAATGTCGAAACAAGTCGTAATATATATACATATATAAATATATACATATGTATATACTATATATATATGTATATAAATATATATTTATGGGGAGCGCTGTTGGTTGCAGGCGACGAGTCTTGCATTCCTGCCACTAACATTCGTTTACTTGGTGTACAAGTAGATGGCAACGATGAGACCGTAGAGACCCAATACTTCCGCGAAGATAAGAATCAAGATCATACCGACAAACAGGCGAGGCTGTTGAGCGGTACCTCTAACACCTGCATCACCAACAATACCAATGGCAAATCCAGCAGCTAGACCAGAAAAACCTACGGCTAAGCCAGCACCCAGATGAACAAAACCCCTAGTAAAAAGACCAAAAAAATTCCTTGTTAACTCGCTGAGAAGAAGGTGAACTTTTGATTATTACACTACAGATGTTTATGCAAATGTTATCTTCACAGAAAGTCAATAAAACTGAGACAGAAATCTGTCTAATCATTACAGGATCATAAAAGCTATTTTCTATTTCGTATCAGCGACGTTGGAAGAACATTTTCAGATTGTATTTAATCGTTTCTTGAACAAAACTTGCATTGTATATTTCCATTTTGAAGTATTAATCTTTCACATATCCTTACAAATAAAGTTTGCATGAACGTCTGCAGCCTATTGGCTATATATCCACAGAATTGTTACATGAAGCAAGAGAAGTTAGAACTAGCAAAGCCCAATGTGTAATCAAATAGAATATTAATAGACAAGCGTTGCTAAAATTTCTTGCACAGTCAGTTTGACTGTACTTGCAAATTTGAGTTGTTGCTAGAATTATACCAATTAAAATAACTAAAAGATTTTTTCTTTAACAGTAGAATTACTATATTAGAATTGTTAAAGCAAGAGTAACAGTATTGGCAACTTCTTCTCTATTATGCTAGATCATGGTTTTGCTGAGCTAAAGTATATAATCTGTTTTAGTTAAATAAAGCAAAAAAATTATAACGTACTTGAAAAGGGAGTAGCCGCTAGGTTCCTCCAAACCACCAGCAATAAGGACTGCTACTACGAGACCATAAATGGCAATAATACCTGCCATAACAACAGGAATGATAGATTTCATAATAAGTTCTGGTCTCATGACAGACATAGCTGCAATTCCTGTGCCAGATTTTGCTGTGCCATATGCTGCTCCCAGAGCTGTAAGTAAAAACAATCACGATATTAAATTTATTATATTGATAAATGAATATTGATGAAAGATTTTATTAGCAATTGTTGTAATAAAGTATTCAATATATAAAGAGTCCTGGTAATTGTAGTACTACTGAAAAAAAGACCAGATATTTTTTCTTCCTGATTGTACCACAAATACTAGCACACCCTGTATACAAAGTGATTAGTTATTATTATGATTATACAAAAAACAAAAAGAACATTTCAATATTGAGTGTACTAACATCTTTTGATTAAAGAAAGTATTTTCTTGAAAGTATTTTCTTGATAGACCTAAATAATATAACCATGTTTTTGTCAAATATCTACCAGGGAAGATAAGAGGTGAGATAAGACTATCTATATCAACTATAGGCTAATATTTGATCACCTCCGGATTATTATCAACAAATGCCGTGCGGTAAATGGAATTAGTCTTGTAAGAAAAGTGAAACAGGTGCCACAGGAGCTTGTCAGAAGCACTTGGAACGTATTCAGAACAGAGGCATACTTTTTTAAACTGTTCCCATGACTTGATGTGCATCGAACAATTTGAGACTCGATTCAGTTTTATTTGATTAAAATATTGATTTCCAGAAATTATTTTAAATCTTGAAGACCCCTATTTTAATAAATATCTGCTTACAGACGTAGTCTTCTTTCATTGTAGTATGCTAAAAGGCATAAAATTTACTGTTTTGTGAATGAGACAACCGATTTTTTATCGTCCGACGGGAATTGCCCCCCAAACAGCGACCCCGTGAAGTACTATCGATCTCGTTTAATATTGATCCCAACGGCGAGGTCGCGGACCCGATTTCGCCGTTTGATATATATTTTAGTACAGAGTTGGGCATTAATCGATTTAAAATTCTAATTCAATCGATTCATTAGCGCTTATAACAAAAAAGAAGAAATATAATATCCTAATTTTTAATTCAATTAATATCTAAACTATAATAATTTGATAATAATTCCATGTTTCACGAGAAAGAATATTAGTGAAACAGTTACAGAATCATCAATCTGAACATCAGAATATATATATGTATATATCAATATCAGATGCATCTACTTTGGTGAATCACTTTACAATACAATCATCCACAATGAATGATAAACTATGTCAATTGCGATCGTTAATTCGCATTAAATAATGCCCGGCTCTATTTTCGGAACATGGCTGGAATTTCCCGCGAAAATTTGAATCGCAGAAAAACCGAGGTGTTGTCCATTCGGTTACGGTGGACAGTGAATTATTCCGGCTGGGCTGGAAAACGTAGTCACATGATTCTCACGTTGGCAGTCACATGATAATCATGTAAGTCCCATCCCGTGAGTAGGGGGCGTGGCACAACCAGGGGACAATGGTACTTTTACGATACTCGATTTTTCCCTTCGATTGCCGAATATTAAGAGACGCTAGAGGGACAAAGTGGGAATTCCTTCCGAGAGCATTTCAAAGTTAAGTCTAGTATCGGGCTGAGGGTATCGAGACATTTGCCAAGTCCAATTTCTGGTCAGGATCGTCCAGTTGGCCCAGGATCAACATTTTTTTCTACACGTTTCGAGAGAGTCCTCGTACCGTCGGGTCAATCTTCCTCGTATGCCACCGTCCATTCAAGACTGGCGCACACGGGAAAAGGGAGATTCGTATTGATTTCCTTGATAGGACAGAGACGCTCGAAAAGTTTAAGTATCCGCGCGTCCCCGAAACCGTTCTTTTTCGACCCGGTCGAGGGCTTGAAACCAGGAACAACGGAAGACAGAACCGAAACAAGACAACGGAGAGAATCGATCTCAACGGTGGATACGCATTGATCGCTCGCGATCGGAATCTTCCGTTGCGACTCGTTTAATCCTGAGTCCTTCGAGGGACAGGCTTTCATTGAAAAGCTGGTCAACGAGGTCAGGCATTATGAAATAGCGGATGGCCAGGCGGCCGGACCGATGCGGACGCGTTTCTCTCGTAATGTAAAATTAAGCTCGGCCCGCGTTGGACCGCGTTTACGGAACATTACGAAATCCCAGATCTACGTGCCTAGAAAAATGGCGCTTCGAAATTGAATCTGTATCCTTGACACCTTCGGCACGGCGACGTCGCATTATATATCACGATACTTGACAGAAAGTATCCGACAACGACGAACGGGAGCAACGAGCGAGAAATAAATATACGAGACACGGTTGTCGAGCATAGTTTATTATCGTCGATCGATCTTTCAGCCGCTTATCGGTTCTCGTTCGAGAGGACCGTTGTCATCGAACCGAATCGATTGCTCGAGCGAACGTTGTCGCGGTACAGAAAAATCGAACAGATTTTCGGTCGCTCGCTGTATTTTCGATATTTTGGCCCACGGTGAAGAAAATGGCGTGCTCGCACGGAACAATCATTGAGATGCCAGGACATGTCGCGATACGTTGTGATTATAATCGCGATCATAGGAAAACTCGTGTCCTCGGGAAAGGACGTGGGGATGAAAGATGATTGGATTCATAACCAGGCTAAGGCCAAACAAACTGAAACTCACCAGAAAATATGATAGCTGAGGCGGCGCCCATCACACCGAAGAACGGTGCGTAAACAGGGTTCTGCTCTCCTAATGGTTTTTGATCACCCATTGTTGCGTTCTTGTTCAAGACCTCGCGGCGTCAAACGGGATTCTACACGAGTATTTACAGGTTGTCGGAACGCGACGACAGTCCGGAACAGGAGCGATCTTTACTCACGCTCACTTCGCTAAACTAGTGCCCACTGTCAAATATGGCCTACCGTACAGTAGTGCGGGTCATGTGACGAGTGACGAGCGAGAGAAGAAGAGACCACCGCCGCTCCGGGATTGTCTATCGGCCTGCTATTGGCTCGCGATTGCGGACTACACCGTCGGAAGCGAATCCCGTCGAGCGTCTCATCTTTTATATCTGACGTCAAGCTGCTCTATAGGCTGACTTGCGCGCCACTGCGCACCACCGACTGCGCAATATCTTCTACAGCTCGAAGCGCGTGACACGCGTTTCCTGTTCATTTTTGCATTTCGTGAAAACTTCTACGCCCTTAACTTCCACGACATAACGTTCATTATTTTCCTGGAAATAATACTCGTTACTCGAACCCGTTGCATCGCGAACCCACATCGCTTTGAGGTTACTTCCACGGAACCTGCGAAAACACGTGACCAGATTCAAACCAGAGTTTAGCAATGTTTAATGCGATTGACGATTGATGATTACGATCGTAATGTTTCGTTATCAATTACAATAAATCTGCTCAGTTTTTTATTTGACTAACGTAAAATTACATTTAAGTATTTAATTATTAATCGGATTAATGATCAATATAGACGGTTGAACAAATATTTATAATACTCATTGACTAAACAAACATTAGACAATCAATCAAGTGAACCGAAAAATTGAACCGATTAATGCCAGCCTGACCTAATGGTATATTCTCGATGTAAATAATTACTTATTATGGAAATCATTTTTCATAAGGTCGTCGTAGAAAATCTCAATGGTTTTTCGATATTTTTTATGGATTACACGTAGCCTATGTTTCTCTAGACATTTAACATTAGTTCTTCTTTTGCTTTCACTCTCATTTTCTTGCTTAGATTGCAATTTGAACAGTCATAAGATCGTACGTGTTATACATTTGTGGAAAATACGATTATTTAGGCGTATGTAATGATAATGTTTTCTGTTTTGTTTCCCGTTAATTGGTTAATCATTGCGTAATAATTGAGTAAAACGCCTGCATTTTAATCATAAGTATGAAATTTTCGTTGTCATCGAATATTTTCTATTCAGATTTATGATGAACGTATTACATATTCTTTCTTGTAATACATGGTACGAAGTCCATGGTAATCTCAAATAAGTTCTATTATTTTTTTAAAGATCCCATGACAATGTCATATTCGTAGTTTCTAAACAATTATTTCAATTTATGTTAATAAATTTCGTTTTAGTATCTTTGGTAAATTTCAAGCCAACACCTTAGTTTTAAGCACGTGATCGGACATGCGTATGACCGGAAGTTGCATTTGCATTCTTAGCTGGCTAAGCGGCTGCAGCATGCTCGATTTAAATGTCATGTTAAACGTGTTCAGTGGGATTGGAAGATATTGTTGCAGAAGTTGTGTATGAACATACTAAGAAATCATGAGATTCGCATATAAGGTAAACAAAATATCTCGAACAATCAATTATTATGATAGTTTCCTAAAAATTCTAACGTAAGGATTTTCAATATCATGTGCATCATATTCCTAACCTAATCCTGTGCTGCAATTTGTACTTATACTATGTTATTGTTGTTAATTTATACACTGACTAATACATTTTACAACTTTTATTATATTATTACTGTAGAAATTATACATTTTTTTTGTAAAAATGGTCTTAGAACGTTCGTATGTTTAATATAGTCACATCAATGAGTAAAAGTATTCTTTTTTAAGGTTCCTTTTTTGATAAAATTTTAAGGTCATTGATATTTTTTAAAAGAGTGGAATTAAAAAAGTGGAATTCGGTGACTTTAATAACCCTATAATTCTGCTTACTTGATCTTAAGATATTTGCATATTAAAGATAAACGTATTTTGTTTCTAGTTTTCTAATTTGTTGGGCACAGTCTATCGCAAAGGAGATTTAGTATTTTCTCCGGATGGATCAAGTGTTATTAGCCCTGTGGGAAATCGGATAACCATATATGATTTAAAGAAGTAGGTGTTGAAAAATAACAATGTTAAATTTATAAAGATGTATAAAATATTAACATATTGTTTTCTTTCAGTAACAAGTCTAACACGTTGCCTGTGGAGAGCAGATACAATTACACAACTATAGACTTATCCCCTAATGGAGCTTTACTACTCGCTGTTAACGAAGGTAAAACTATTATTTTTAGTTTTATGCACATTTACTTAATTCTAAGCACTTATAATAATTTTCCAATTATTTGCAGAGGGTGATTTGCATGTTATTAGCATGGTTAGTAAGATTATAATACACACATATAAATTTAAACGACGTGTTCGATGCATAAAGTTTTCTCCAGATAGTAAACATTTTGCTGCTTGTAAAGAAAACAATGGTAAGTTTCTGTCTTTATGAAATTTGAAGCTCACAATTTTTTACATTACAATTTTTTACATTTATTTATTGTTTCAGTATTTATTTTTAACGCACCTGGTCTGCAAACTGGAGAATATAATCCGTTTGTTATGGAACGTGTGTATCACGGGGCTGCGGATGAAACAACTTTTGTTCATTGGTCTCACGATTCAAAAATGATCGCTGTTGGTTCTAAAGATAACTCTACTAAAATATATAGCTTACAAAAATACGCGAATTTTAGGTACATCAGTCTTGGTAGCCACTCTGATGCTATTGTAGCATGTTTCTTTGAAAAGAAAGCCTATGATTTGACTACGATTAGTAGGTTAGTATATCTTACGAATATTTTCCAGAATATGAATGGCAGTAGCCAAAACAATATTATTTGTCTAGAAATGGCCAACTTTGTGTTTGGGATTGTACAATCAATGCGAATGATTTGGTACCTTGGGAACCTCTTGTTAAAAGAAGACAAAGAGACAGCGATGGAGAGGATGATGTAGATCTCGACAAAGCTATAGAGAGGACGGAGAAACAAGCCAAAGCTCGTGAACGCAATTTACAACGTTCAGGTAATTTTATTTTTCAATAAATTACAGCCATGGAGGTGAAAAATTAATTTCAAGTTTTTATTGTTTATATTGCAGAAGATTCCGCTGAAGTGGCTACTGACGCTAAAGTTAACTCGGAGATCAAGAAGTTTCGCTACACAAAAGTGGCGCGTCATTATCTAGCTAACGATGTTCAAAAGCAAAAAAACGAGAAGGTGACGCTTACTGCAGCTGCTTATCACCAGGAGACTGGCATTTTGGTAGTCGGCTTTAACAATGGTTCATTTTATTTGTACGAGATGCCCGAAGTTAATATGATTCACTCTCTCAGGTACTGACAACTCTCAATTAAACACAATGAAATAATCTTTGATAGTACATACTTCTATGTATTCCGTTTCATTTCTTTTTAGTATATCGAATCAGTGTATCTCGTCAATTGCAATGAATTCGACCGGAGACTGGATAGCTCTGGGCTGTTCCACCGCTGGGCAATTATTAGTATGGGAGTGGCAGAGTGAAACTTACGCCATGAAGCAACAGGGTCACAGTAATAACATGAATTTTCTGGCATACAGTCCGGATGGTCAATATATTGTCACTGGTGGTGATGATGGGAAGGTGAAGTTGTGGAATACGCTCAATGGATTCTGTTCTGTTACATTTCACGAACACACTTCCTCCGTGACCAATGTTTTATTTAGTCATAATAGAAGGTTTATTGTCTCAGCTTCGCTAGACGGAACAGTTAGAGCCTACGATTTGGCGAGGTACAGGAATTTTCGAACTCTTACCTCACCGCGACCAGTTCAATTCTCCTGCGTTGCGTTAGACTCAAGCGACCAGTTTATTGCTGCAGGAGGCCAGGATTTTTTTGAGATTTATCTATGGAGCGTTAAACTGGGCACACTTTTGGAGGTACATACAGGTTATTCTAATCATTTTCAGTATTTAAGAAGTTCCTATCTAATATTTTGATGTTCGTCATATGTTATCATTAAACAGATAATGAGCGGGCATGAAGGTCCAGTAGTCAGCCTAGCATTTAATCCAAATCCTGCCAGCACAGAAATGGCGTCTGTGTCCTGGGACAAAACGTTGAAGATATGGAACGCGATTGAAACTGGATCTTCTCATGAAACAATAAAGTTAACAGCAGATGGTTTGTACGTTACTTACAAACCAAATGGCGAAGAAGTAGCAGTTGCTACTTTGGATGGTCAGATTTCGTTTTTCAATTGTAAAACAGCGGTGCAGATTGGTAGTATCGAAGGGAAAAATGATTTGGGAAGTGGGAGATCTGAAATCGACCTTATTACGGCGAAGAAGAACCTGCAGGGGAAGTTAGTATACATATAAAATATTATTCTATGCCTAGATTAATTTTAAAAATAATAAGAAATATGTTTTCAGAGCTTTTAATACTTTATGTTATTCTGCCGATGGGACGTGTATACTGGCTGGTGGATTGTCTAAGAACATATGTATCTATAATGTTCAAGAGTACATGCTCATTAAAAAATTCGTTATAACTCAAAACAGGTCTTTTGACGCAGTTGATGTAAGTGATATCTAATCCTGATGCTATTTTAAGTAATTAAGCCATTGATCTAGAAATTATACGTATTGCATGCAGGATATTATAAACAGAAGAAAGTTGACAGAATTTGGTAATCTAGCATTAGTAGAAGAACGTGAAGAAAATGAAGGTGGAAATGTAACCTTGCGATTGCCAGGAGTGAAGAGCGGCGACATGGCAAGCAGGAACATGAAACCGGAAGTCAGAGTGTATAGTTTACAGTTTTCTCCAACAGGTAAAATTTGTTCTAATACCTGCATAGAATTAGATACTATACAAATTGCTATTTTCATATTATTGTTTAGGGCAAGCATGGGCTGCGGCTACTACTGAAGGTCTCCTGATATATTCTTTAGATGTTGGCATGGTGTTCGATCCATTCGAATTAGAATTGGGAATCACTCCGGAGACTGTGAAAATGACTTTGAACGAAAAAGAGTACACTAAAGGTGTTTAATATATTTCTTCTCGATTTTAACAAGATTATTAATTAGCGTTGGTTAATACTAAGTACTAAATATTTTCAGCACTGTTGATGGCTATAAGATTGAATGAAAAGCTGTTAATAAAACGAGTCTTGGAAAACATTCCGTCTGTAAACAGTAAGTTCACGAATGTTTATTAAGTTTATGAATAATTTATTAATTGTGAATTTTATTTCAGTTGATTTAACTGTTGCTGCACTGCCTGACATTTACGTAGAGAAAGTATTAAAGTTCGTGGCGGCGGAATTAGAATCATCGAAGCATATACACTTTTATCTCCTCTGGGTAGAATCCATACTAACCACTCATGGTCCCAGAATAAACACAACCCTCCAAATGCCGATCTTACTGATGCTACAGAAGAACATGCAAAAGAAATACGATGAACTGAGTAAAATGTTAGTTCGGGTATAATTACATCTGGTAGTTGGTCATATGATAAGACGCATCAAATTATCTTTTTTCATTATTGTAGGTGCGATTTCAATCACTATACGATAAGTTATTTAATGGAGTTGGGAAAACACAAAGCTGAAAGATCGATTTCCAATAATGAGAAAGCACAATCAGAAGATTCTTCATCTGATTTTGATGAATCAGTCGAATTAATGGAAATTGACTAGATGATAAGTATGATCACATTGCTTCACATGTACAAAGTAATATAGGTCTCTTGATATAAATATACTTAATTTCATACAGATTTTATTTACATAATTAAATGCGTAATTATTTACATAATTAAAATATTTACAAGCGTTTTCTTGCTTACAGTGTTACCATTGAACTAGACAATATATTTGTACCATAGGTTTTACCATAATTATGAAATACTGTGCCTAACATACCATGCAATGGAATGAATCACTTGACTTCATAAAATTTTCTAATAATAATTTTCATAGATCTACCTGTTAGTGTTACGTGGTTTTTTTAAGCAACAATATTGGCCAGTACAAAATGGAGAACAACAAAAACAGTATGGGGAAGCCTATTCTACTATAGGTGTCGATTACTTGCGACCGCGTTTTGTGCACTCTTATCATTTGACACTCTGAATCCAACCATGTAGATTGTAGCAGATGTCTGCTACCAACCTTTTTCTTTTTCATTTTTGGAATGTACGGCGAATCGTAGTCCCAAATGCTTTGGTATTTATCCATGGTGACCAGCCGCTAAAAAATGACGCATAAACATGTTCAATCAGAATTAGTAATACATACGCCACTAGTTGCTATTATTAAGAAGTATTATACAAACCGTTGGGTAATGCCTGGACATTAATGATGCTTGCAAATCGTATTCCAACTGATGCTGCAAGTCGAGTACCTTGACCACCACAAATTCACCTAAGGCAGCGAACACGAACATCATGCAGCCAGCCATCCAAACGTCCAACGCCTGAATACACATTAAATTTCAATAATCAATTTTACAGATGCTTTCCAATCTTAAATGCAATTGGAGCCCATTTATTTATTACAAGGTCTATTAACTTACAAGATATTAGTAGCTAAAGATATACATGTATACTATGTTTACAAAGTATAAGCCACGCGATACACAGGTCAGAAGTGAGGCTCAATTAATTCTCACGAGCTCGACAGAACCAGCAAAGCAAAGTGCATTAGTCTTGAACTCAAATGAAAAGGCCACATCGTGCAAACGTACTTTCACGTAAGCGACCGGCGGAATGTCGCTCTTGAGGCCGGTGAACATGGTTACTAAGGTGAGCATGCTGGTCACAAGCAGGGCCACTCTTCCAGGAATGGCATCCAAGCCTAGCCAAAAACTGAACCAAGACAGCATTACTACCAGCGTCGATGGTGCAAATGTCTGTATCAGATGATGACCTATCTGCCTTTCAAACCGGAAGTAAACCACCAATCTGGAGAAATTCCCTATTAAACCGTAGAAAATCATATTTTCACAACATTCTGAAGATATTACACATCGAAACAAATACAGTACCGCTTTTCTCCAGCATGTAGTCTACAGTCTCCTCCGAGACCACCTGTATCCCAATATCATACTGCAACAGCTTCAACTGAGGATTGACAGTGACACCTCCCACACCCCATTTCAAGCGTAACTTCTGTTGGTGATAGGAAACTGTCGCGATTAACGCAGTTTTCCAGATTAATGCAGAGGTTCTGGTAAATCTGGCTTTGTTTGATTGTGATAAAAGTAGATGATAGATAGACCAGGATTAGTAGACTAATTTTTATAAAGACCTAATTTAAAAAATTGCTTGAACTAAACCTAGATTATAGTTTTCATTATAGTTAGATTAATAAGACTATGCTGATGATTACAATCAATGTCCACCTTACAAATATGACTCTAGGGTTACAAAATAAGGATGACAGGAGTAAGAATAAGGCAACAGACAACACACTTTAAGTTCCGTTTTTTAAAAATTATTTACGGGATGTGTGTTGAAGTATCGATAGTAAAAGTGAGTTACAGTTTTGTCTTTGTTACTTACAGCTTTCTATGTAGATAGGGCATATTTGAATGTCCATTGGATACAGTTGAAATTCCATCTGGCAGGCAATAATCGCGTGCATCCGTGCCGAATACTTGACAGTCCTGTTCCTGTATAGCGTCACCGAGGAGAATTTGTGGTTCAGTGCTGCAATTTCTGGGCAATGCGAGATTAATAACACAATGGATAGGAGCGCAGGAGGAACGATTGGTATAGTTTAGAACCAAAATTAATATTAAAACCTCAAGCATTATTTTCTGTGATACTTCGAGTGTAATTGAGATTGCGGCGTTTAAAAATACGACTTTTGTTTGACCTTGAGTACCAAACGTAGATAAAAATAGATATAATTCTGAAATTCACCAGAAACTTTCGCATTTAAGAAGTAGAGGTCCGGTTGCCATAAGTTGTCGAAGAAGTCGGGTGGCAGGGTGACATAGTCCTCACCTTCCTCGAAGATGTCATCTGTCATGTCCAGTCGAGACTCTATCCAACTCTCACGGACTAACATGTCCACTCTGTTTGCAGATGTTTAATAATAATTTCATATGGATATGTTTGATGATACAATGCAGATACGTGAAGTTATAGTCATACTGTATCAAAGGGAACTATTACAAGCACTTGTTTAATTTTCCAGCGACCTTGTAACGTCCTCTGAAGGTTATAGTAAAATTGACAAATGAGACTTACTTCATGTTAAAGGGGCATGAAAAAATCCTACAATTCGCATCCTCAATACAACCGATAATGTCTTCTGATGACAATGAGTTTGAACGGTCAAGTGAATGGGAAGCGAAAATTCATCGTTGCTCACCGGAAGTCCATGTCCTCGACGTTAATCGAGTTGATGTCCGCCACGAAGATGTTGAAGTCGACCAACACCGGCATGCCCTGTTTCGACGGTGGCCTGATCTCTGCTTGAATCATTTGTTTGCAAATTACTTCGGCTACTCGGTGGGATCTTTGGCTAAGATCGGGATTCCAAGGCTAGATCGTAACGCATCTCTAAAAATACCAGGTTTCCCGCAAAGTCCTCGAGGACTTACGATCATGTCTGCGTCGTCCTTCACGACTTGCAGCTGCGCTAAATCTTGATCTAGCTAGATCCTAGTCACTGAGTAGTGGCATTGCAAAGTAGCTTGCCGGGGGCTGTAGAAAGTCGATTGATTTGTTACTGATTTACCGCAATGTTAACCATTGGTTTCTCTGGATCACTTCTTTTGGAAGATTACATACAGTGTAATTCACTGAAGAAAGCTATTAGGTTGAATAAAGTGGCACGTTTCTGCCGAGTTCCACGACAAATTCTTTTTCAATAGAAATATCACGAATTCTGGACAAAACAGCGAATCATGCCATCAAAGAATTTCATCCTTGTATTCAACAAAGTTCGAACGATTTACTCCAATTACAAATTAATTGTAACTTAGTTGAGAAGTTTTCTGCTACATTATCAATCCTTTTATTAAATCCAGTTCGAACAATTTGCTCCTTTTGCATATCAATTGTAAATAAGTTGAGAAAAGATCCGCCTCCTCTATTACTTTATCAATGCTTTCACCGAGCAGAATTCGAATATATTCCGGAGATTAAATATCAGTAACGTCAAGCGTAATTATCAGTTTTCTACGACGCTACAACAGCAACGAGCAAAAAGCACCCATTGTTAATCGACGGGACTTAATCACGCCGATAATCTCTGCTACGGATCGAAAGTCAATTTGGCGCGTCGGTGTATATCGCGTGCTCGAGGAAACGTCTCGCGATTAATCATTATATCTCCCTCCCCTCGCTCTCGTGTGGAAAATGCGGAATTTTTCTTGGCGAATTCGCGGAATGGAAGATTTCGCTCAGTGTATGTGTGATACTAACCTTTCACGTAATGCTCCGGCAGGACGATCTCGGTCTTTAACTTCGGATCCTTCGAGTGATCGAATAGGGAACTGTGAACGGAAAGAAAGTTAAAGCCGTCGATCAGATTAAAATGCTGGGAAATGTCCGTCAAAAGTTGAGGAAGAGATTACGATCGATTCGGTACGTAATTAACGAGGAAGCGTCGAATATATATTTTCTGATTAAAATATAGAATATTTGAATATACGTATGAATATCCAAAAAAGAAAATTGTTTCAAGCATCTGCATTGATTGTGTAAATATATTGGATGGATGTTCATTTAGTTGGATTTATTTGGAACATGATTATATGGAATGCGGACGTTTCTGCAAAATAATAATGTTCTGCATCACCTGTAGCAAACAAGACCTACATTTTCTCATTCCTTTCTTTTTCGAATCATTTGTGATTCAATGATGTCCCACAATTCTTTCAAATCTTTCACTGTTTTACATTTCATTAATTAAGTTTTGTCGTAAATTCGTGAAATCCTCAGTATGGGGTGTGCGCGATTATTAGACTGCGGATCTTTGTGTAAAATTGAAACCTTTCAAAACTGTTGCAAAAGACAGGAGCCACTTAGAAATTTCTGCCTTTCTTTAACCCTTTGCAGTCGAAGCTATTTGAATTCGAAATCCAAAACATGATTTCTGATCTACAGTATTTCTATTTTATATAATTTATTGCGATTCATGCGTATGAAATTGAGCCTATTGGCAAGTACAATGCAATTTTAATAGTTTTTTTTAAGTATAAAAGAATCTGATGCTCTTAGAATGATTTTGAAAAATAGTATACCAATTTGTAGTGGCGCCTCAGAGTCGCCATTCGAGCGCAAAGGGTTAATAATTCTAGCAAAATCGAAAATAATGTGTCGATACTCTTCAATAGTTAATTATTGTTGCCATAACTGCATAAAATCTGCAATCTAGCGATTATCAAGAATCCGTTCTATAATTTTTCTGTACCGACGAGAAGACTTCGGGTTGATTTAGTTTTAANCGGACGTTTCTGCAAAATAATAATGTTCTGCATCACCTGTAGCAAACAAGACCTACATTTTCTCATTCCTTTCTTTTTCGAATCATTTGTGATTCAATGATGTCCCACAATTCTTTCAAATCTTTCACTGTTTTACATTTCATTAATTAAGTTTTGTCGTAAATTCGTGAAATCCTCAGTATGGGGTGTGCGCGATTATTAGACTGCGGATCTTTGTGTAAAATTGAAACCTTTCAAAACTGTTGCAAAAGACAGGAGCCACTTAGAAATTTCTGCCTTTCTTTAACCCTTTGCAGTCGAAGCTATTTGAATTCGAAATCCAAAACATGATTTCTGATCTACAGTATTTCTATTTTATATAATTTATTGCGATTCATGCGTATGAAATTGAGCCTATTGGCAAGTACAATGCAATTTTAATAGTTTTTTTTAAGTATAAAAGAATCTGATGCTCTTAGAATGATTTTGAAAAATAGTATACCAATTTGTAGTGGCGCCTCAGAGTCGCCATTCGAGCGCAAAGGGTTAATAATTCTAGCAAAATCGAAAATAATGTGTCGATACTCTTCAATAGTTAATTATTGTTGCCATAACTGCATAAAATCTGCAATCTAGCGATTATCAAGAATCCGTTCTATAATTTTTCTGTACCGACGAGAAGACTTCGGGTTGATTTAGTTTTAATGGGGACGAGTAAGAAAATGAGGAAGCCGTAAGATTTTTTGAAGGCCGATGGGGGTGGGTCGATTAAGTTTACCTGGCGTTCGTAAGCACTTCCGTGAACAGGTTCAGCCATGAGTAACAGAGTACCGTCAGGACCGCGTTCTTCATCATACGATTTCGACAACTGGCGTTTCGAACAGCCATCCTGTCGCGTTCGGTGCGTTCCAATTAATCTATTACCTAGTAGTAGTTACACGCAATCTATTTCAATTGCAAATATCGTCGGACACATCGGCCCGGTTATTGCTTTCTTAGAGTTGCGCAACAATTTGCCGAACATTCATTTATTTCCCACGAAAACGCCTCTGCTTACGCAGCAATTATAAAACAGTTAAATTAACCTCTAGCTTTCGATATCGTGAGATGAAGTCTTCTTTAATTCGAGGTTGAAGGTCTTTAGATGTAAATGCAAGACAGCCCATGGTGTACTCGTGAGAAGAGTCTTGCGATAGTGACTGATTATAAGGAAAGGAGGAAGAAAAAGACTGAAGAGAGAGAGAGAGAGAGAGAGAGAGAGAGTGAGAGAGAGAGAGAGTGAGGACTTCTCTTCTTCTTCGTGTACTAGATATGTGCTCGAAACAATTGACATTATCATAGATAAACAAGCTTTTAAAGAAAGAAACATTGAAGTTTGAATACTTGTTCTGAGTTCCCGGTTTGCGGCATGTTAATTAGCACTCGTTGCTGTCTTTACTCTTTAGCATCTTCAATGGTCATTAGAAGAAATTCTTAATAGACACTAATACACAAAACTTAATAACGTTAGTATGTATTAAATTCTTCTAAAAACAGTGAAAACGATCATCGATGACGATAATTATTGTATAATAACGATAATAATCATAAATATATAATAATAATAATAATAATAATTATTATTATTATTATCTTGATTCTTTAATTGCCTGTGTACTGTTTGCTTCAGAAATTGCTTCAAAATGTTTAAACGTCTCTAATGTCATAAAAACTATATTGTATAATATTATTCGGGAAAGTCCACAGAATTTTTCAGTGTGAAAACCATCTCATCCGACTGGAGTACACAAAATTCCCAAAGTAAATTTTCGATCCTAATTATTTAACCATCTTGATGAACTTGTGCTTGCTTGCTTAAAAAATTGTTTAAACATATATAAATGTTCGTAATGTTGCAAAACAATATGCTATCGTATTTGGGTAAGTCTATAGAATAGTTTGACGTAAAAAGTATTCAAATATCTTTTACGATTGTGACACAAAGAATTTCCAAAGTCAAAATTCGATTATTTCAAAATTCTGTGCAAAGCATTTGCTTCAGGAATTGTTTAAGCACATTTAAACGTTTATAAGGTTACTAAACAATTTACCATTGAATTTATAAATGTCTACAGAATCGTTTTATACAAAGAACGTCTATGTAGCTTTTATGATCGAGATACGAAGAATTCCGAAGTTGAAAAGCCGAAGGTGATAATTGCCGAGAATCCGAAACAGGTGTGGAACAATATGTACCTTTATTGCCTCACCCGCGGTGTGTTTAAGACACCGAGTAGGTTTTTCTTCTCGTTGGCCTCTTCTCCAGGATTTGACCCTTATGAGAGGAGAACGGTACCTGCATCATCCTCGTGTACCGCGATTAGACGTCACGCTGGTCTAAAAGTCGACCTCGATCGGCGACCTCGATTAGACCTAGTCACGCTCGCGATTCCTTCGATTCTTGCGAAGGTGATGGTCAGCGTTCGGTCGCTTATGTTTCTAATACCCGTAAACATTCGATTTTATTCGTATAAACAGTAGATCAAACGACACATTTGCTGCAAAATAGTTCCTTGATTAGTCAGCATTCAATGAACCAGGAGAACGTACCCGTCCGTTTTATACTCAGAGGTACCATAATGGCGACCATTGCCTGTCAAAATGGCTATCTGCACTTATCTGCAATCGATTTTTGTACTTACTGTCATAGAATCTAGACGTAAATAATGATTACAATTGCATTTGCTTTGTATCGTTTAGGGTGAGAGACTCTTTCAAAGATTGATTTTTGAAATAATTAATCGATGATCATTTTTACATAGATACAGTAGCGGACATATATTTAAGACCACTTGAAAAGACCACTTTTAAAACTGGACTAAATGACTTGAATATTTTTTAGGTGATAGATCGATCAGTCTATTAGACGATGATTCCAATACTTTTTTTAAATTTTGCTATTACCTGGAATGAGAAAAAAAAGTAAAAACCTCATGTTTTTCAACTTTGTGATTTGACTCTATAACGAAAATTTAAAAAATGCATTTTGTAGATCTCGGTAAATTACATGCATGCTGAAAATTTCATCGATATTGGTTGATCTTGACAGGAGCTGTAAGAATAGGCTCAGATAAAAAAGTTGGAAAATATGAGATTTTTAATTTTTTTGTCATTTCGAATAATCGCAAAATTTTAAAAAGGTATTAGAGCCATTGTTTATTGGACTGGTCCTTCTATCATCTAAAAAAAATTCAAGTTATTTAGTTGAGACATAAAAAAAGTTATACCGTTTTTTCAAGTGATCTTATATATATTATATAATATGTCCGCTACTGTATATAAAGAGATCGTACATTTGTTCCTGAGAATCAAATATTTTATTCTTGACAACAAATTTGTTGAATAATACGTATTCAGAAGAACTAGAGATTTTTCAGAAGCAAAAACTAGAACGCACGCATTATATCTGCCGCGTTCCAAATTATTTCCTAATTGCAAAGTAGTTAGATCGTAAATAGAGATTTCGCATAGTTTCACACAAGGATCGATTATCCTGTTATGATAATATTCTTTGCACCGTAATTTACAGCGAAAAAGCTACTTTGTAATGCTAAGTCACGTTAGAACACTGAGAATCCTGAACATGTTAACTATCGTTTAGATCTTGTTTCAATGAGATTTATTAATTGAACCGTGAACACATAGTGGGCCGATTCGAGCCACCGGCTGAAATTAACAACATCCTCCTTAATGAGCCATACGTATGGACGTGATCGTAGATAAGTCGGAATTTCCTGGTTTGATTAAAACCAAGAGAATCCCCGGCATTCAGCTGCCTGTTGAACTGCGCGAATTATCATGCTCACCGTCGTCGATCAAACGTTCCGATGAAGGTTATCAACGACTCGAAGATACTTAATCATGCGCGCGTGTGTCCCCGTTAGGTGATTTGTATCGAGGTTCATGCCGTTTGTCTTAATTCTCGCTTATGTGTATTACAGAGGTCGATCGTGTTTCAATTCGATGTAAATACCGTAATACGACGATCTTGCAATCGGCAACTCGTCTAGTTCGTGCACTTTCGATTCTACTTTTTGTTACTCGATTTTCTGCGACCACCCATCGGTTTCATGAGCCACTGGCTTCGACCATTTGTCACTTTTGCGGCTAGCAACAGTACGCGTTGCATTAAATGAAATTGACGCCGCGAGATAAAAAGATGCACAGAGCTTCAGCTCAGTTTCACATTGCAACTGCGACTTTATCCTATAGGATGTATCAAAATCATTGTACAAGCGGGAAATGAGGGGTTCCTGAGGTAATTTGGAATAACTTTTTCCTTAGCGAAAATGCAATCCGCGGCTTCGTTTGTGAGTTATTAACGAAAAGCAGTGACCAATGAGAGGCGAGATTAGCTGGCGCGAGACGGCCGAGCCAATGAGCGAAACTAAGCCTCGATCGCGCGTTGGCTCGGCCGCCTCGCGCCAGCTGATCTCGCCTCTCATTGGCCAGTGTTTTTCGTTAATAACTCGTAAACGAAGCCGCGGATTGCATTTTCGCAAAGGAAAAAGTTATTCCAAATGACCTCAGGAACCCCTCATTTCCCTTTTGTACAATAATTTTGGGACACCCTCTATACATCATCTGAGAACACAGTGTATTAAGTTACGATAAGGGAAATCCAATTCAATTTCTATTTAATTTCACTTGGAAAGATCAACATTGTTGTTAATATTCGACACGACAAGACAAAATGAAAGCACGTGTGTATAACAACTTCAAATATTAACATTCAAAAACGAAACATTATCTTCAGACATTTTAGAATAATTTGAGACAAGAACGAATGAAAAAGAAATTAAACAGTTAATTAATAAAGAGAGGTTGCACACCGTGCGATCGATGATTTATTTAACAAATTTGGATGATTCAAAGTGGTTCGCTTTAAACATTGAATTACACATTTGTACTACATAGTTCATCGGTCACGACAGGTTGCAAAGACATCCAAAGACACCTTTGGGTCATCCACGGTTGCGTAGGCGGAAGGACAAACCGCGAACGGTTACACCTCGCGAAAAAATTCACGTTGATGGATAGAAAGTCTCCTCCTGCTGTCGTGTATCTTGTCCTATTTAAGCTTCCCTCGGCCGCGACGCAATGCCACGTGTTTAAACATGCACAAGCCTCTTTTTTCCAGGGAAACAATTTCGCCGCTGGCGTTCGTACTTTTTTCACGTGCTCGTAGAAACCGGAAATCGGTATCGGTTCGACGGCGACCAAGGTGAAATCGGCAGCCCGCGCAAGAAATGCTCGCAAAGCGGCGTCAACGATTTTAAAGAGCGTTACCTTCTGTCTTTGGTGCTCAGTTTTGTTACCTTGCGAATAGTGATCTTGTTTCTTCCTGCTACATTTTTCTATAGCGAATGTTGCAGTTCGAAACCGGTTGCTGGACTGTCCATCGGGAAAAGTCGGAACGATCTGATTATGACTTATGGCTGTATATGCTACTCCCGACGTTCATTCGCGTTCTATTTTAAAGTGGTTTTTTTGAGAAGTTGAAGTTGTCTTCTTAGCAGGTTTCCTCTAGGTATACTTGATTAGATAAGTAAATTCTTGATTCAGCAAGTTTTTTAGTGTTTATTTTGTATGTCAGTTTGAGCGAGTTCTTTCGCACACAAGATCATCCTTCGGTAAACATTTAATAAATTCTTGTTTCAGCGTGTACTACTTGAAATAAAATTTTTGTTTGAACAGGTTTCGATAAATTCTTGTTGAAGTAAGTTTCAGTCAATGCATTCCTAAACAAGTTTAAGTAAGGTTTACGTTTAATCCTTCGCGCACCAAAGTATTATATTTTCTTTCTTTTATTTCAGAATTTGCTGTAACGGAACCGTACGTAACTTTGCAACCTAACTAGAACTAGAAATAC